ATATTTACACTGTCTACTGATATATACACTGTGCATTTATATGTGACCTCAGACTGTGTTTCTTAGTGAAACAGTGTGAACAGAGTCACCTGTTGATCCCAGCTGTCACTGAACGCAGCAGAAGCCATGTTAAAGCTGGATTTTCATTATCACAGTGGCAACATATCGATTGTGCAAATTGGGATGAGACTGGGTCAGATTTCTGTCTCATACCTGAGACTGAACCTGTTGGGTATCAGGAGGTTTACTGTATATCTGAACCTGTTGTTGTTGTTCTTCACATATTAAACATGAAAATGACTCTGAGTGTTTGTGTCTCTGCAGTTTCTCTGGACTCACAGCTTTTTCTCTTACTTATGTGACAGTGATCTGAAGCCTGAGCTCAAAGCAGCGATTGTGTCAGAGCGGCTGCCGAGTTAGTACAGAGCACGGACTGTACCAACGTCATTAAACAGGGGGGTTCAGACTATACCATCTTCATTAAAGAGCATGGACTGAACCAGCTTCATTAAAGAGCAGGGTGGAAATTAGCAGCTCGACTGAACCTTCGCCAAAAAGAAGGACGGCGCTGGCTAATCATAGTGACCATATGTCCACAGCTAACATGAAGAAGAATAAAAGGACAGTGATGATAAAACCTTTATCTCATCAGAGGACTGAAATATGTTCACAGCTACTGACAGGATATTTCGTACAGATGTTGGCGACCCCCAGAGGATAAACTCTGATGACTCAGAGATGATCCATGACTTTTCCTCCAGCGCCATTGTGATGTTGACATTGTGGATTTTAGTAAAATGTCTCGACAGCTGTTATTAATGTTAATTATACAACAGTTAGTTCCGGCCCTGCAATCTGATTGGTCGAGAGACAGTGAAACCGTGACGATATTGGAGTACAACATCACGGTTATTTCACTGTGTATGTATCACTCCGCTTAGTGTCAGTTAGGTCAGCAGTTGCGTTGTAGGCTAATTAATTCATCCACTGTCAAACAGCCAAAAATATGGATTTATTTCCTAAAGTAAGTTTTGAATTGAACTATGAATGGTCATCAGAGGAAGATGAGGGAGAGGAGAAGCTGAATCCATCTGAGCACACATCCAGGTTTGTCAGTGTTTCATCAGCGGAGCTCAATGACTTGGAGAAAAGCAACATACTGTCAGATCAGAAGGCAGAGTCGGCTGTGTCTGTAAAGCCACAGTCCACCATGCAGTCACCAGAGACTTATTTCACCGGCTGCACAATTAATGGAAACGTGCAGATAAATGTGTATAAAGAGTAAGTGTCTGGCGCACCATGTCTGCGTTACATAGCAATGGTGACAGCGGAGTCCTGAGGGAACTATTTTTGTTGGCAGAAGACAAATAAAATGCTTAAATTATCTATTTTGTCCTCATTTTTCAACATTTCTTAATCAGCCTTGCTTATTTAACTGTTGAACTGTTGTATAAAAGCAATATCACACTCAAGCTCATGATGTTATACTCATATATCGTCACAGCTGTTGATGACTGAATCACAGCCGTGGCGATATATGAGTATAACATCACGAGCTCGAGTGTGATATTGCTTTTATATATTTCACATGTTCATGTTCCCCTCAGGATGAACCACAAGAACTCTGCTGACCATGACTGTGCACCTGTGGCACCACCATCAGGTGACAGATGTAATTTTTCTGTGAGGATGCTGCTAAAAAACAAATGGTGTTTCAGACATCCGCCGACGTGGATCCGTCTGTCCTCTGGTCCTCTGGTCCTAACACTAGGACATGATGATGTCTGAACCAGAACAAAGTTCTCCAGGTGTGCGACCAGGTGTCAGATCGGATTTCTGTGTCCGGACATCATCAACCTATCTGCACAGTTGCTATGGAAACCACGATAAGTACAAAGCTACACTTTCCAACACAGAGGCTTGAGTAACAGAGGGTTCATCATTTCAACGTCCACATTGTCTCCTATGACAGAACAAGTGTTCGGAGGACCAGACAAAGACAGCCAACAGTTTAATGTGGCGTCTGTCCACCTACAGACACATGGCGCTCCGACGGACACATGGCGCACCGACGGATACGCGGCGCACTGACAGACATGCGGCACTCCACCAGTACCATCATGGATCGGCTCAGTATGTCCATCACTGTGGAGTGACATCATTGACGTGTGTCGTGTTGGAAGAGGTGTAGAAAGATCTGATGTGAACATCCAGAGCGAGGACAGAGACACGTCTGTAGAAATCTGACTGACATGATATTCAGACTCCTCCAGATGTGTTCAGATCTGATCTATTATCGATTATTTATTTATTATTGATTATCTGATGTAGGTCTGATTTATTATTTTACTGACCAAACTTTTTAAAATCGGCCTGAATGAGACAAAAAAAAAAAAAAAAAAAGATTTGGTGTGACATGTACGTAAAAAACTCACTCTATGTCACACACACACACACAGACACACACACACACACACACACACACACGCGCACACACACACAAACAGGATATGAAGCAGTTGGTGATGATGTCATTTGCACTGTAAATGTGACTGTAAATGCTGCAGCAGACGTCGGACCTGCTGCTGATGAAGGTGAGGACGAGTCTTCAGCATCATCGTTCCATCATTACCAGAAACAAATGTGTCTCATGTCTCCCTCCAGTGGACGTATCCGGCAGGACAGTCCATGAGACCATGTTGTATGATGCGGAGCTACAGGAGGAGAAGATGGTGGCGTCGTCACTGACTGAGGGTCAGTGTTTGGTTTGTGTGCAGCTCCACATGTCACAGATCATGAGGTGATTAAATCAAAGACAAGAATCTTGTTACAGAAAACAAAAGGTTTCTTTTTCTGGTCGAAGCTTTTGTCCTCAAGACATTTGGACACTTTCACCTCTGAAGGTCTCCAGAAAAAGATGCAGTCCGAGTTTAGAGTCTGATTGTTTTGTTTTTAGGGAGTCAGAGCCGAGAAGGTTGGAAACATCCAGTTTTGTGACACAAGTGAAAAATAGTTTATTCAGTTCTTAACACCACTCAGAGACCCTGAATGCATCACCAGCATCCAAGCTTCATTCTGTTGTGGCGTCTGTTGCATCGGTGACTGTTCGCAATTAGCTCCGCTTGTTAGCTGCTGAATGGCAGCGGAGCATCGAGTTGTGAGCTGTAATTCAGCAGTAAATAATCAGCCGTGTGTGTCTGACTGTGGATGGTGGAGCAGCTGAATGGATTTGTGGAGTTTGTTAGTTGCAGCGGTGGCTGTTAGCAGCTAGCTCCGCTCGCAGCCTTCACAGCTTCACCCCGCAGGACTCCACTCAGTCCTGACTGGAGAAGGTTTGTGGGTTGATGGTGTTTGACAGGCAGGTAGGAGGCTCAGTTATCTGTGAGTGTAGCTGTGCTGTAAGTAAACAGGCTGAACTCAGATCAGTTTTCTCTGACAGAGATGAAAGTTTAGTTTGAATCACCAACTCTGTGAGAGGACACCAGTTTAAACCTTCAGACTAACATGTTGCACACGAAGAAACAAGTTATGTTTCTGCTTCTTAAAGGGAAATTTCGGTTTATTTCAACCTGTCTCCTATCGTCCTGCATTTGTTTCAAGTGACTAGTGACATAAAAATAATGGTTAGCATGTCAGCCGTTAGCCTAGATACAGCCGGGGCGCCATCAGATCTGTTAAAACGTAAGTGAACGGGCAACCTTCAAGTGCAAAGTTAGTCCACTAAACAAGCTTTTTTTCCACAAAGACTGCCTCATATCGTTAGGATAAATGTCAGAGAACATATAGAAAACGACATGTAAACGTGTTGTCTTACCTTACCGGTGTGCTGCCATGTTTGTTTACCATCTAGCTCTGCTTTCCAAAGCGCTACGCTAACGGCTAACATGCTAACTATTATTTTTATGTCACTAGTCACTTGAAACAAATTTAGGACGATAGGAGATGGGTTGAAATAAACCGAAATTTCCCTTTAACGTGTGTCTGATAAATAAAAACTTCGCTCCAAAGGAATGCTGGTTAGTGTATATTTATTGCAGCATCCGAGTCAGTGCATTTTATTGACATTAAGCGGTCAGCAAAGTAGGACCTTCCCCCCTCACCCTCTCAGTTCATTCATTCATTCACCAGGGGAAGAACAGCTGATTTTATACCTGCTGATGTACCACCACGACGTGACTCCTCCCTGTATGTGACAATATAACAACAAACTAAACACTACTAGCTGCTGGCATTTACATGATCTTATTAGTTATGTGTTAAGAGCATAAATAGAGAGATGTTGAGCTTTTCAAATGAAGATCAGTAAGTGTGTGCTCGTAAATCAGCCCTTAAACCTGTCAAACACTGCTGGAGAAATGACACACATTATTTTATACAACCTGTCACCTGGATTCTGGTTCATGACACATGAATTAGTTTAAAGAGAAAAACATATACAGAAAACATCAGGACTAAATGTTGAATTAAACATGTTGAATTTACGTGAACTAATAAAAATGACTGAAACTAAAAAACATTTTCATCTCAGGACTCCTACTAATCTAACGTAGCTCTCAGAATGAACATGTTTACTCTGCTGGTGTGTGATGGTAGAAATGTTTTTTAAATGTTTTTTAAATGTTCTGCAGTTGTCTTGTATCATTTTGAATGAAGTACTTTTACTAACTGTTACTTTAACTTCAGCAGAGGATCTGAGGACTTCTGTTAGCACTGCTAAATGATTACACCCTTTTCAGTCATGACTCATGACCTTAAGTCTGGAGTTTACAGAGGGTTCTTGAATGCACCACGGTCTTATGCTTCATCGGCACATTCCAGGTAAGAAAAATAACCAACCTGTGACCTGATCAGGGTTATTTATACTGAGATGTGATTGAAACAGCTGAGTTCAAAGTGTCAGACTGCTGTGAGTGTCTCTCTCTCACAGTGTAATCATTAACCTCAGAGTTTGATCACAGCAGGAAGAGGAAGGTGAGGAAGGTGAGGAAGGTGATCTTTGTCATGTGGCTGAACCAGGACAAACTGGCTGCTCTGCTTTTGCTCTGCAGACTCAGGAAACCCCCCTTTTCTTTTTATAAGGTGGAGAAAGTGAAAGCAGGTAGAGAGTAGGAGGGACAAGAGTTGACAGAGAGATTTCTACCTGAGCTCGACAGGTAAGGAGACACCTTTCTACTCTCTGTACCTCTGTAATGTAACCTCTGTCTGAACTGAACTTCAGCTGCAGAGACAAGTTTGGATGTGAAACTGAGTCTCTGTCGATGTGCTGCAGGTTATTTAGTGTCAAACACTGTTATCAGGACTTTGGTCTCTGTGCCTGAAGCACGACTTCACAGGTCTGTGTGACGTCCTGTTATATGATCAGAGCTGGACTCAAAGGTTAAAGGGACACATGTTATTGGTGAAATCTGGTTTTGAGCCCTGCAGACAGTTTCTCTCTTTTTAATGTGTTGCATCATGACGTCACTGTAAATGGAGGCTCCAGTCATTTCTCAGAAACGAGGCATAAATGAGATTAAAATCAGTGTCTTGGTTAATAATGAATCATTTTTATTTTCTTACAAACATGTTTGTTTTTAATGTGTAAATCAGCAGTAAAACATTTTTAATAATTCAGTGTGATTTACTGAGGACAGAGTTTAATGTTTGATTTATTTGTAATAAAAAGGTTTTACTTTACTGATCATGAACAGACACGTCGTCTGTGTTAAAATATTTGTTCTTGTGGTCGTTTTAAGGGTCAGATTAATGAACAGGTTTCAGCTCCACCTGAAGATCCTGAAAGTTCAGAGCTGCGTTTTTACTTTCACTTTACTGACTGAAGTTTAGCCTGCAGACGATAACACGGCTTCATGTGTCACAGATCAGCCGGTGGTAAATATTGACTGACTGAATGAAACCTTTATTTAAATAGGGACAAAGTCTCAGTGTTAACATGAACATACAAACACTACTGTAAACATGACAACAACAAATCTTTAAAAAGAAAAAATGATGCTGACAGTTAATTTACAGGAAACACAGAAGAAAACAAACAGAAACGTTTCTAACATACATCACGTGTGTTCGCGGTCAGAGTTCATGGGTAGAAAACATGAAGGCTCTGTAGCTGTCTGTGCACTTTTGTGCACGTTTACAGCCTCTGGAGGGTTTTTAGAGTTTTTAGAGGTCTGAGGACAGAGGACAAAGGGTTGGAGGACAGAGGGCCAGAGGACAGAGGGTCTGAGGACAAAGGGTCTGAGGACAAAAGGTCTGAGGACAGAGGGTCTGAGGACAGAGGGATGTTGTCTGCTGTAACGACAACACTTTATGTCAGACATACAGACTGGGACGTCCTGAGTGGGGACAAATCTGCTGTTAAGTGGTTGGGTTCAGTCTGTAGCTGCTGTGACATCACATTTCCTGTTTCTGTGTCTCTGTGTTGACATGAACACGCTGTGTCAGGTGGAGCGTTTACCTGTAAACAGAAATGTCTCCACCTGAAACCTGAGACCTGAAACCACACCCTCCTGCTGAGTGTGCCAGTCTCTGAGAGGACCCGACAGAGACAGATGGTAACGTCTGATCTGTCTCATCACAGGTGGAGGTAATTAAACGCCATCAGACGTCACACAAGATGGACAAATCTCCAGAAAACCCTGAGGAGGACACGGTGTCCCTGAAGAGCAATGGAGAGAAGTCGAGCAATGGCAGTGCGAAGCTGGGCATGCTTCAGTCATTTAGAACAAGCATTCGACGGGTCGCAGAGAAGAGTCTGCTGTCGTCTGGACGCAAAGGGTCGAAGGTCACGACTGCAGACGAGTCGAGGTTACAGGTGCCTCCGTCACCCAGTGAGTATCTGAGATCTGCCATCAGGTAGCAGCAGGTGATTCTTCCTCTCAAGGTCAGACGCAGAGAAAAGACAGCGAGCTCTTTGTTCCATGTTTTTTAAGTGTAGAACCAGGAAGTGACATAATCACGCAGTGTCTCAACTTCCTGTCTGACTGAGACGTGTCACTGAACATTTATACGTCACAACAGAAGAAATCTGTGTCTTTGTTTTTCTCCTTAAATTAGTCACTGCCTACATTTCCCACAATCCCCTTTACTACACCCTCCAGGACACCTGTGTCAGCCTGTTCCTGTCAGGTGTGTGTGTGTGTGTGTGTGTGTGTGTGTGTGTGTAGAGTTCAGAGAGAGCAGGAAAAGGCAAGCTCAGGTGAACTTGAGTGAAACAAACCTGTTCTGTGGAGATTCTCAGGAACGTGTGAACGTGTAATCATGTGAACGTGTGAACGTGTGAACATGTGTACGTGTGAACGTGTGAACTTTCTGCTCCAGCTGGTTCAATCTGATAAAATACCAAAAACACCAAACACTCCGACCTCAGCGCCGCGTCTCTGACACTTCCTGTTCCTGTGTTGGAAGGTTTAAACTGCTGATCTGATCAAAACAAGTTTTATTATTTTCAGGTGATCAGACGGACTGAAAACACGAAGACATGATGATTTTTTTTTTTTTTTATCATTTAAAGTGTTTTATTTTTCTTCAAACAAAATGTACAGAATGAACAACCACAAATAAAAAAACAAAACAACAACAAATGCACCAGCATAGCATAAGCCACAGCACCTCCCACTCCCACAGCACGACACCCCACATGACATATATGAAGGCTTTCTTTTACATAACGCTGTCTAATGATCTCCACCCCTAATGAACTCGCGGAAGCTACCCCACATTTCAGTGAATTTAGACACAGAATCATTTAGCATTTAGCTAGCATCATGTCATATGAAGCTGTAGCCGTCAGTCCTTATAACACTGCATACATGTATTTTTCCAGTTCCGTAGTATGATCCTGGCAGCATTGAGGAAGCCTGCAAGGGCTAACCCAAACCCAAACCTTCGTAAGTCCAGCTGGTAAAACAGATTTGTCACCGAGAAGTCAGAGATGAGGCGAGCTTGGCAAAGGTTGGTCCAGCCACTCCTCAGTTGACCCAACCACTGGGGAAACTAGCTGACAGTCCCATATTTCATTTCATTTCATTTCATTTATTCCTTTTGACTCCTCCCCGGGGTATAAGGGACAAACAACAAAAAATAACATTAACAAATCAGGACAGGCGGCAGCCAATGCACAGCAAAATAAATAAAACAGAATTTGTGTACATACATAGAAGTCAAAGCAAATCAAGAGAAACTATTCAAGATTTTCTTTAAAAGTTTCAACAAATTTGACAAAACCTTTACTTTTTGAGATGACATTAACTTTTGAAACTTATAAATATTTGGATTTGCTCTATAGAACTGTCTGACCAACTCTCTTCTCTCTTTATCAAAAAAAGAACACACAAGTACATAATGATATTCGTCTCCTCGATTGCCAGTCAAACAAAGAGTACATTTCCGGGGGACATTTTCACGATCATACCTGCGCTCAGAGATAGGTAACTTATGATTTCCACACCGAAACTTAGACAAACAAACTCTTTCGGCAGGTCTTAACATAATCAGATAAGGTTCAAAAGTGAAATCAGTTTTAAACAATTTATAACTATCACATAAAGGGTTACTTTGTAATTTCTCATGCCATCTCTGTAGTTCCATATCAGATAATCTACGTTCAATCATTAATTTTAAATATTTAGGGTTCATCCGTCCAGCGTCATGCCATAAGTACGATAAACCACAATCATCAAGAATATTTTTAACTTTGGAAATCCATTTACACTGAAAAATATTGTCATCATACAAAGTCTTGAAAACAATAAACACAGTCAAAGAGATTTTTGCTGTATTATGACTAATTAAATGTACCCAAAAGTTAATCATTCTCATGTTTACCTTTAAATCTAAACTATTTCGACCAAACTCTCCATAAATAATACAATTTGCTGTGCGTTTATTAACATTAAGTAAACGTTTCAAGAAAGATCTGTGAAGCATTTCAATTTGGTCAAGTTTATGAAATCCCCAGACTTCACTTCCATATAAAAGAATAGGCACTATAAGCTGGTCAAATAACTCACATTGTATATCAACAGGTAACTGTAATCTAGTAACTCTGTTTTCCAAGGAGAATAAAGCTCTTTTAGCTAGTTTAACTTGCTTAGCTATTGCTTTATCAAATCGTCCATTAAAATTAAATAACGTTCCAAGATAGTCATACTCAAAAGTAACTTCTAATTTATCTGAACCAAACTTAAATTCTGGGAGTATCCGTAATTTCCCCCTAGAGAAAATAACAACCTTTGTTTTGTCTGTGTTGACAGTTAAATACCAGTTTTTACAATAAGAAGCAACTGCATTTAATGCGGCCTGTAATTCTGAAGGAGTCTCTGCCAGTACAATCGTATCATCCGCGTAAAGCAGGACATATAATTTCAAATATATCCCTATTTCACCATTCATCACATTGCGGCATTCAGTTGAAAAAAGTTGAAGTCCGTTGTACCATTGACTCACATATTTTTCAAAGTCATTTAAATATAGTGCAAACAATAGTGGTGATAAATTATCCCCCTGACGCACTCCTACATTACATACAAATTGTTCAGATAAATCATAACCAGCTCTAACACAAGATTTGGCATTCTCATAAATATTATGTATCACATTTAATACTCTTCCGTTTATACCAAGTGCAACTAATTTAAACCATAGTGATGACCTATCTACCAAATCAAACGCTTTTTTATAATCAACAAAAGCACAATACAGTCTTTTTTTCTTATACAAGTACCATTCAACCAGTGAGTGAAGAACAAAAATATGGTCAAGGGTTGAAAAGCCTTTCCTAAACCCTGCCTGCTCTTCTCCAAGAATTCTTTCAGACTCTATATAAGCAGTTAGTCTGTAATTTATTACAGCCGTAAAAAGCTTACCAATACAACTAAGTAAAGTAATACCTCTGTAATTTTCAGGATCATCTACTGGTCCCTTGTTTTTGTATAATGGTTTTATCACTCCTAAACACCAGACAGTGGGGACTATACCTGTTATCAGTACCAAATTAAAGAATTTTACTAAAATGTTCAGCATTTCCAAAGGGGAGTTCTTTATATATTCATTTATAACTTCATCGATACCATTTGCCTTTTTTTTTTTTTATTTTTTTTACCATTCGCTGTATTTCTTCCAAAGTAAACAAATCATTTATGCATTCATTTGTAGGAGAGGTGACTTGTCTGAGGTCAAATTGCTGGTCTTCTGGTGTACAATTATCACTCGATTTTTGGCTGAGTTTCTTAAAATATTCAGCAAAGGTTTCTATAGATACATTTCCTAATCTTCCAGATGGTTTACCTGCATTTAGAATAGACCAATATTCATTACTATTAGATTTCTTAAGTGTACGAAGTTTCCTATGTAAAGAATCATAGAACTGCCTTGAACATTTCCTTATGATGGATTTATACTTTCTAGCTATACATTTTATTTCAACTTTACATTGAGCAGAGCGGTTAAATTTAAATATATTCATGGATTTAAAATATTTTCTACGGGCCTCAACACATTCAGCATTAAACCAGGGTTTTCTCTTTTGTAGTTTTTTTGACGTTCTACCATATTTGTACAGATCCTGACCATATGCCTTACATAAACCCAAACTTTTAGCAGGATCTACCATAATGTCACATATACCTTTACTAATGTTATTTATTTCAACCAGATTTGTATTGGAAATATTAATCGCATCAATCATTGAATCATACATTTTTATAACTTCTAAATTAAAGGATTCTTGGTATGTGGCTTTTAGCTCAGATTTCCATCGGTGTTTAAACATTAAATGGGCCATGTGTCTATTCTCTTTTTCGGGATCATAATAAGCAGTATCTGTAAGAGTTTCACACTTATGAGTACCCAAGTTATTAGCTCTTATAGTTAAACTAATAGGGCAGTGGACATCTGACAAACATTTGTCCAAGGGATCAACACAAAAATAGATAATCTGTGCTAACAAACAAGCTGACACTATGGCATAGTCAATAACGCTGTTACCATTATAGTTAAAACAGGTGTAACGCCCAATGCCTTTATCAGACCCAAATCTTCCATTTACAATCTTCAACTCTGAACTTTGACATAAGTCAATTAGGCTGTGACCGTTATTATTAGTCATTAAATCTTCACTGACCCTCTGTAGATCCATCAAAGAAAAATCATTTATGTCACTGTTTAAAAGCATTTCGCCATCAAAAGACAGCCCATTTCTAATATTCGTTCCTACGTCACCTACATTTAAAGAGTCACTCAGAGTACCAGTTCTTGAATTGAAATCACCCAACATCACTATTGGTAAACTGTATTTACTGTTCATAAATGAAATATCTTGGGAAACATTTCCAAAATAGTCCTTGTTGAAAAAAATAGATCCTTCATGTGGCACATAAACTGTTCCCAAGATGAATTCAAACCCAAAAGCTGCTTTGGCCACTTTAGTCCACAGGATGGAGTCAGAAGTAGTGTCTTTTATCTCCTGAACATAATTTGCAAACTCATTTTTAACTAATAGACATACCCCATGTATACCACCATGTTTATAACTTGATTTCTTCTTTTCTAGCACGAAAGGAGTAAATCCATCACAGTCTGATTTACAGATATTATCTGTTTTGGTCTCTGTTAAACAAATAAAGTCATAGTCTTTAATGTATTCTGTAAGAATCCCAAGTTGAAATTTAGCACGTAATCCACACACATTTAGTCCAAGGAATTTGATATCTGTCTCTGGTTTAGTCTTAAATCGACCTGAAGAATTTTTACAAGTTACATCCTTGATACAAGTTGCATGTAGTGAGGAGTCAGCGCTAGCCTAGGGGAAGTCTACATAAATCCCGACACT